TATATATATATATATATAGATCATTATTGAGATTTTCAAATCGGATATCTTGTTTAAACGCTCGGAAAGTGATCATAACGTAGCATAAAAGATTATGGGAAATTTTTATATTACTCGGCCACTTTGGCGTGAGGTGGTGTCGGTAGGTTTTGGGTACATCAAGAGCGCTTCGCACAAAATAAAGTTACACATTTTAGAAGAGATTTGAGAGCAATATGTCTGTTAATGAAATATTAAATATTAAATTAATTCCGACTTTTTTACAGCGAGACAAAATATTGTTAAGTGTCTTATAGCATTTATCGAAGCGACGTTGTTGTCCTAATTACGAAAAGCATCATATTGTGATTGTACATATATATAACAAATTCTTACTGTTTTTTATAAAAAAACTGTTAATGGGAAAATATAGTATTTATTACGTGCATTACTCCTACAAATATGTATTCCACATCTTCCCTCTTACAAAAATTCATCAGTCGTGTAAGTATAATTGTAATATTGTAAACACAGTCTTTTGATTTGCAATTGTAACTCTTGTTATGTAATTAATGCCGCTTTTTTCATCTATAATTATTTTTCTTATAGTTCTTATGATGCTTCGTTTATTTTTTAATTCAACATCGTTAGTAATTTCAGTTTAAATAATGTTCATAAATCGTGAAAAATGCGAGCACACAATATAGAAATGAACGTGGAGGAGATACTGATGGAAAGAATCTCTAGCATTGTTTTTATTAAATAACTTATTACTTATCTAATAATTCTATTAAATATATTTGTATAAAGCTGTCAATCCATATACGTTATTTTTGACAAATTTGTACACAAATATACATATAATAGGTACATAACAATAAGAATAAATTACAAGTAGCTATTGATTGAGATAATATTACAGTTTTAAGGTTATTATTGTATACATTTATATTATTGTAAATTTAAGAGATTTCTTCTGTATATCTATTTTCTATGGATTCAGACACCTTTTTCAGAGTCTCCGCAAGAGTTTCAAACACTTCCTCTTTGTACTCTAATATTTGTTTCGAATTAAGATTATTTCTATGATCGAATCCTTGTGTCTCTAAAAAGTATTGTACTAGAGACCATACAATATTTCTAAATTCTAAGAGCACATTAGCAGTTCTAGATAAAAGAACAAAGATTTAAACAGATTATTATATGCTATATATTACATACTAAACAGGAAAAAAAGATATAGAAATACTCACTCTTTATCACAAACAAATCTTACAGTTTGATGCGCATTGACATTAATTACAAGTTTTACCTTGTTATCATCTAACTAAAAATCGAAAAATGTATTATAAATTGTATAATGTTATTTACTTCCTTATACTGCTGTACTGAATCATAAGATTTAATTATTTAATTACCTCATGACACTGAACCTTTTTTTGGTTAAAAAGTAATACTGTCAAAGGTGATATTATACTTGTTTCACGAATCACCGTGCTACGTCTTACATCACAGTGTGCAGCATTAAAATATGTTAAGAAAGAACTCGGCCAAACTTTCCGCTTATAATTAACACTTTCCCCCGAAATTACTACTTTAACATGACATCTGTTTAAAAATAAAATTAAATGATGATTATAAACGGTAATGTTATAAATGATCTTTAAACTTGAATCTACGAATATAAAATTTACTTACTGTGTTCGAAGTTCATTAACGCCTTTTCTCAGAATTCCATTCTTATATCCCGAATCTTTATGTTCTATCAATTGTTGCGTAGCAGAATATAATATAGCTCGCACTAATTCGTCATTATTTTCAAATTTGTTTGCTATATCAGATTTATTGCAATCGTGATCATGCAATAGAGTTTTGCTCAACATGCGACACTGGATCAACTGTTGGATAAATGTATTTCGTATTTCTGCAAAATTATAATTTCGTACAATTTAAAAACGAGATTTTATTGATTGTATGGATAATTTGATTTAATGAATACACACAAGTAATTCAACAATAATTTTTTTATATACTTTGTACTTACGATTCAATATTTGTATTCTGATTGGCCGTATCATCATGTCTTTACAAAATTTTCTTATTAAATGTGGAGCTGTTTCATTAAAATTGACCCATTGTTTAAATATCCATGCTATTGCAATATGATCGCTAGATGGATGGTACATTCTTTTATTTTGCCTAATTTGAAGCTTGTGATCCAGTATATCGTAAAAAAGATTATCTTCACCAGAAAAAAGACTTGCTATCGTTATCACAGGATATATACAGCTGTTGTTAAAACGGAAATATTTAGAATACAGAAAAATAATCAAAAGATTGATTCAAATGTATATTACTATTTATACTTACTTGAAGATAGAAGAATATACCATGGCTTTACTAAATTTAGGATGCGTTGGGAATAGTGCCATTCGTTTGCCTAGAGCCGTAAGATTCTCTTCATCATCCATAACTCCGAGATTTATTAAGGTTCTTACTGCCTTTTGTATTGCAGTTGAAGTAGGCGGTTCCAGAAATCCACTAAAAAATTCCTCCGCCTTTTCGTCCGTGTATGTTTTACTGTTAAGTATTACTTTTTCCAATGGATTGCATAATAACTCCGGTAATGGATGCGCCTGTAATTTTTCATATTCTTTCTTTGAAATTAAATGAAAACTTTCACCAGGTTTAACTCGTCCAGCTCTCCCTTTCCTGCATAACAAATTAATTACCATCTCAATGTAAAATAATTTCAAAATAATATATACATTTAAATGCAATTTTTTAAATGCTCCTTTTTATGCTCCTCCCAAATGTAAATAACGAAATTATATAATTTGTTTATTCTTGATAATTACCTTTGCAGAACATTTGCTCGAGAAACCCAACAATTCCTTATACTAAGTAAATCTTTGTTATTATCCCAATGAGATTCTTTTCGTAAGGCAGAATCTACAACGTAAACTACATCACTAATCGTAATGCCTGTTTCAGCAATATCCGTGGCCAAGATAATTTTCCGTACATTCTCCGGTATATGTTGAAAAATTTTTCGCTGCTCATTGTGTGATATTTTGGAATGCATCGGCAAAATCAAATGTTTTTCATTATAGGACGATGTATCTTCGAGCATGCTTTGCACCTTCACGATTTCATTCCAACCTGGTAAGAAGCACAAAATAGCACCGGGCGGCTTATGCGACGAGATCCATTTTATGACTTGTACTATTTTTTCAATATCAACTGAAAGTTTTTCGACTTCATCATTTTCATAGCGACCTTTGGGTACATATGTTTTGTATCTCTGGATATTTGGTAAATGCTCGATATCCTCCAAGAAATGCATTTTTACGGCAAACAGTTTACCAGGTATTCGTACAGCGGGACAATCGAAATACTGTTGAAATATATGCGTATTTATAGTCGCCGACATTATTAGTACTTTTAAATTAGGATTTTTCTGTAAGACTCTCTTGAGTAGAGTCATTAGCATGTCGGTATCGATCTGGCGTTCGTGCGCCTCGTCCAAAATAACATGTGAACACCCTTCTAAACTAGGATTGGTCTGCAATTTTCTCAGTAGCATACCAGTGGTGCAAAAAACTATCGCACCGGGTTCCTTCGGCAATGCTTGTTCTAGTCTCACGTGAAAACCTATAACATCTCCCACGTGCTCTTTTCTTTCGTACGCAATACGATCTGCCAAAGAGATCGCCGAAATTCTACGAGGCTGTGATACTAATATATTGCAATCTGTAGCATTACCATTTTTCGCGAAAGTATCTAATATAAATTGAGGTACTTGTGTAGTTTTGCCACAACCTGTATCACCTTCTATCAATAGAATTCGATGGTTTTCCAGCTGAGAGAGAATTTCATCCCTGTGAAAAACAAATTATATATATATATATATTGAAAATTAGAAAGCATATTATATATATATATATGAAATAATGTTCATATATCTTTCATACTTAAACTCATGAATTGGTAAAGTGGCAACGTCATCGTTACATCTTTCGAAAAATCTATCCTTTAAAATTTTATTTCGAAGGAGAACATCTGAGGAAGCATTGTCTTCAAGTATCGGATGATGAATTAACGGCTGATACGATGAATTTAAAGTATCTTTCGATGTCATACTTTGTATTTTCTGAGTATTATACAAATTAAAATCATTAAATGTCATACATACTAATGAACATTTTACATTAACCCTGCTATTCTATATTTGTGATCTAAAATGTAATTAATTTTCTTACTAATATTTTAATTAAAATATTTTTTTCTAGTATTCGATAATTTCGTTCGTTAATGTAAGTTCTTTTTTCTGTAAAAAATTTTGATTTTTTTAGAGTTTTTAATCATTGATTTAAATAATATAATATAATAAATTTAAATAGATCAGCAGGGTAAGAAATTGTGATGCAGAATTTTTACCGTGTTATAAGTCTTAATTAATTCTGTCATATTGTTTAAAATTTCAGAAGCAACATTTAATTCAACAAGCTTAAATTGCATGTCTCTTATTTCCTCTTCATTATAGATAAGTGGCTTGCCGTTTTTTAATTTGTTATTTATTTCTAGATACTGCAAACACTTCCAAGCTGCATTTTTGAAAGTGAGTGTTTTGGTTTTACCAATTTCTTTAAAAGACATAACTTCTGGCCATTTGATATTAATAGTAACTTCCCATAAATTAGATCGATTTACAGTAATGTTCTTAATATTTGAGGTTAAAACTTGTTCGTCTTTTAAATCATGACCTACTATTGCATAAATAGACATTAAAGAAGTTTTTGGGTTTGGGTACCAGCGTTCTATTCCTATAACATTCAAAAATTTTATTATGGTA